ATAAACCCCCTTTCCCTTTCCCAGGAAAAAAACTGAATAATGAAAACAACAAAGATTAAGGCACCTTGGAACCTTGTCAACCTGTTCTGATCTACGGCAGTAGTTAGGCTCGGAGACGAAGGGGGTCTGTGTGTGTGTATATATGGTGTATTAAGTGCTATACGGATTGAACTATAAACTCAATAAACTAACGTTCAATTATCTTTTTTTATTTTACGATAAGAGCTCTTAAATTTCCTCAGGGTCAGGATTCATGAATCGCTAAATTGCAAAACAGGGTGAACTTCGTCACTTCTTGCCCCCCTCTACAGGGGGGGGGCAAGACTTCTTTAGGGAGGGGCATGCCCCCCCCTTAATCAGGCTAGGGGGGGGCCTGGCCCCCCCCCTAGTTGCGCGCCTGCTGGCAAGGTAGCTAGAAACCAGTTTGCTGTCGGGGAACTTGAATATGCTCAGGTCCGGTAAGCTGATGGATAAGCTGATGGGGGATACAGTTGGCCAGAAGTTGGCGGCATTGAAGATTTTGGTAGGGAATAGAGTTCCCACCAGGTTAAAAGATCCGCTGGCTATGCGCTGGTTGTCCGGGCTAAGGTTGAGTTCTATAACCCCATAAGCACCATGGTTCCAGTTGACAACCCTGAGGAAGTTTGGTAGCTCGTTAATGGAAGCAATGCTAATAGCTCGCAGCTCGTCTATCGTGAGATCAGATGGGTTAGAGAAGCCACCGCTACGAATAAGCGGGGTTTTCCGATGTCTAACCATCCTAAGATAAGAGTTAATTAGTACAAAGGAATAACGAGAACTAAAGAATAAAAAATATTAAGGAGAAAAAGGTCATAAGTAAAAGAAGTAGACAAAGAAACTTGAAAGATTAATGAAGAAAAACGAAAATAATATGAAATTAAAAATTAAAATAAAATTAAAATCAAAAATTAAAATTAAATAAGTAAAAGGAGCACAAATTACAAGGAAAACGGAAAATAGCGTAGAAAGATTATATTGATGGAAAAGTTAGTAGTAAAGGGATTAAAAAGCTGAAAAGGAACCTGAAAGATAAGTAACCATTGAGAGTAATAAATATAAAGATATAACTAAAAGAAACTACAAGGAAAAAGGAAAATAGCGTAGAAAGACTACATTGATGGAAAAATTAGTAGTAAACAGATTAAAAAGCTGATAAGGAACCTGAAAGATAAGTAACAATTGAGAGTAATAAATATAAAGATATAACTAAAAGAAACTAGAATAAATAAAAAGCAAAAGGAAGCTGAAAAGTAGGTAAATGCTGGAAAAAGCAGATATAAAGACATTAATTAGAAATAAGTAAGTTTTTTAAGTAACCAATACAACTTAAAATTAAATAATAGATTAATGTAACAAATATCATCTTAAAGATAAAGAATTAATTAAGTAGAAAAGATATAAACTAAAAACTAATTAAAACTGAAATTTAAGTATTCAGTGAGAGTAGCAGAAATATAGACATTAACTAAAAATAAGTAATTTGAAATAACAAATACAACCTTAAAAGCATATAATCGGAAAAGGTAACAAATTTAAATTAAAAAATAAAAAAATAAAAAAAATAAATAGTTAATTAAGTAACAAGTACAAGGATAAAACTAAACATAAAAAAACATAAAGACTAAGAAATTAAGTCGGGAATAAACAAATAAAGTAATGGAAAAAATTATTAACAAAAAGTCGGAAAAAGCTAATAATCAGAGAGAAAAGAACTAAAATGAGAAATACTGTCCTTTCCGAGGAATAGATCCAAGAAGAAGAAACCAAGGGTAGTTGTTGCCGGGAAGGTTTGCTGAAGAATGAGGTCAGGTGATAAGAGCATGGTACAAGGAAAGAGAAGGGAACGCGGCATTACTGCAGTACTGTACACCGACCTGTAACATCGTCTTCACAATATTTGACCCTCTATCAATAAATAGATAAAGGCTTAAATACCAAATTTTCTTAACAATTAGCTCTTAAATATGATATAATGAATAATTTTGTTTTGAAAATACAATTAAAAACTATGTTGATTTTAAGTAGGTTGGGATCAGAGGGTCCATAAAACGTTTCCAGGAGATGGCCCAATTGAGTTTGCTATAACATAATCCTTCCTGGCCTTACACGATCCAGCATTAAATATTTCTTAAAGAGGGTCCTGGAAATATTTGTAACCACCCTGTGTGTGTCATATGTACTTGTCCAATGGCCATTTATTTTTTTGCAATCACATTAATAATCAGTTTTTTTTCAGACACTAATTAAGCTTGATAAAGTTGTGATATGCGTTCTATTAACAATATCCTATCATTTATGAAAATTTAAAAAGTGCAAGATAAAGATGTATTTCACGGTACAGAGGCGCAACTATGGGGGACCGGGCACGCCGCCCCCCCCCCTGCAGAATAAAAAGAAAGATTGGCAAATATCAGAATCACAGGAGTCAGGAATAATAAAACCAAAAAAGTTATTATAAAAATTGTATTCTACTATGGTTAGTTTAAAAAAAATGTTTTTATCTTTCTAAACTCTCAAGGCTAAAGGATATTGTAAACATTTAATGTAAAAATTGTCAAGATCTTTGTGAATATGCATCCGAGATTCCTAAAATATTCCATTGTTAAAGGACAGATATTGTTGAATTGTTCTTTTTTAATCATAAGATATATTTTCTTTTTAAGTACATTTTAATTATCCTTAAAGGAATTTTTGCCAAAAACTCTGATACTTTAACCCCTTTATCTTTGCAACACAATGTCGTAGATTTCAAGCTTTGAATTATTTTGAAATATCAAAGGTTTTCACCACTTGGTGCAAAGATTTGGGGATTAGAATATTTGAGTTTGTGGCAAAAAGTCAGTTTCAAATCTAGAGAACATTTTGAGACTGAACCTGTCAAACTTCTAACTGATTATCATATTTGATAACTGTAACCTGTTTATCTTCTTTGAAATGTAGTATTCTCTTACTACTAAAAATGTGGCAATAAATTGGCAAACTTAAATAAGCAAACTTTGATAAAATCACGCTTCAAGTTATATAACTTGTATAGGATTAATTATCTTTGCAACCTGATAACATTGCACATCGGGTTATCCCATCATACGGGTCAAACCTTTATACAATTACGTATCTTTGCAACCTGGCAACATTATACTTCGGGCTATCTCCATCATACGGATCAAACCTTTATATAATTGCCTATGCAATAATTAACACCCAAAGTAATAAACATGCTTTCATTAGATTAGTTACATTTATTTACATATATTCATAAATGCATACACAACCATAATGTGGAGATAACTAGATGGTTTAATGATCAGCCATGGTTCCTTTACATCTTAGGTCCCTTAGTAGCTCTCTCAGTTAGTTTATCTAATCTGAAGTGCATGACTACTATATTAGCCAATCCATCCATCATGTATTTATCATCTCTATTCCAGGTTTGCTGGTCAACCCGCTCCTGTAACTTATGGAGCAGCTTTCCAACCTGGACATAAATCCTGGAGCAAACCTCCTCACTGCTTGCTTCGGGATAAAGGTTAAACTCCTGCTCCAGGCCTTCCTTGTGTCCCATACATTGACGCTAGGATCTATAAGGTGCATGTGTCCTCCAGAGTAGAGGACACCATACTCTCAAGCTCCTGGTTCAGCTTTGCTAACCTATCCATCACCTCCTGCATGGTTTGCACCAGGACGTCAGTATCTTCATCCTTATCCTCGTCCTCAACTGTGTCCTCAGCTACGTCTCCGACCTGCGAGGCTGGGGCAGTAACAATGGGAGCATTCCCACTGACAAGAGGAGCAAGATCTATAGGATCCACTTCATCTGCATCCAAAGCAGCTTCATTGATGTAAGCTTGATTCGTCTTCTTCTGAGCTGCAGCTCGTCCAGTTAGGTTCCCTCTGTATGCTGTGTGTTCACTTTATGTCGTACAAGTCCCGGAACGATAGTAGCAGACTGACGTGTATAGTTACGTGTCTACTCTTCTAAGGTTCGGGCTGTTCTACTTGTTCTGATATCGGCTTGTATTCAAGGGACCGTTCACTCTTATCAAGAACAGTCTAGGATACAACAGAAAGAACTTCTTTAAAATCGAAGATGAAATAATAAATTCAATAACTTCAGGAGAAAACGTAACATTGTCTGTCCTTTTTCAATGTAGATGATTAAAATTATATATGTATTATTTTTTTTCAGAATATATAAATGATTATTTCTTGTAATTATATCTGTAATTAAACCATTTTATTATTTTTTTTGCGCTCCGCGCACACATTAAAAGAATTGAATGACTCATATCGTTAATTTTACAGTTGTTGAAGGTATAAATTTTAAAAAACGCAAGAAAAAAAATATTTGAATTGAACACAGCCAATTCTGCATGCAACAACTGCAAAATTTCCTTTAAAAAGCACTTTTATTTCGAAAAAAAATTCTAATGGGGGGGGCAAGCCCCCCCCCCCATTAGAATTACAAAATAATATTTTGCCACCACCTAACCAGTTGCCTGTTGCGCCTTTGTCACGGTGTCACGTTAAATTACGCCAGACGTGATCGAGAATGCCCGGGCTACTATAATTCGGTCTTAAAATTAAATTTCCTTCATTTTACACCAAAGTATTCATTATTTTAAATGCAAGAAATAGAAGCTGAAATACATGGGTTTAATTCTTGAAAGACGACATTAAAAATCCCATTTAACAATAAGTTTTAGTATTACCCAGTCTAAAGACTTATTTACCCCCTCCCCATCCCTAAACCCCTAGCACTCTTCAATAGGAGGATAGTTAAAAGGAACTCGGGAGCGTACACAGGAATTTGTAGGGGGGGTCTATCCTTGTTTATCTTCCAAGTGGCTGAGGGCTCAGAACCTGTAAAGTCTAAAACACGCATGGAAACCATAGATTTTGTTGGCCCCACTCCCCTGTGTACGCCTCTGAAGGAACTGCTATGTACTAGATGTACTAAATATACCCTATGTATATTGTAGACGGTGTCCCTGTGAGCACTGAGAGTCCCAGGGCTAAGGATTGGCAGAGATTGCTCCAGATGTCTGATGGATATGGGGACAAGAATATGTTCATTAACGACGCTATTCATGGACATATCAAGGTATATAAGATATTTTTTAGTCTATGGTACCCATGGGTTTCCTCAAAAAAGTTCAGCCAATCCCACTGAGTACCCATCCTTTCCTTTATACTTTTTCACCCCCTCCTTGCCTTATTCATGATTTATCATCATTGTTTTGTTTAAAATGTACACTGTACAGTGTACATCCATCTATTTATTTACAATTCTTATTCGCTTATAATGGGCCAACCAATCAAAACAACCAACTCTGGTTAGGCGGGTCCAAACTACATAGTAAATTGTGATTTATTCTTTGTATTATCTCTTGCTTTGTAGTTGAATAAAAATATGAATGAATGAATGAATTTGGTCCGGAGCCGTTTGGCCAGCTATAGCTTATGTAATATATATAAATGAGCAAAAGCTTTATTATATAGAAGAAGATATATTGTCCCAGAGATATTTTTCTTTGTATTTTTCCCGATTTCAATGGCCATTGTCAAATTAAGGAATATTTTGTATTTTAATTATAACATAAAAGATATATAATCTATATATATACTTTGCTTGTCTGTCTGTGTGAAAATGCGCGAAAAAATAGTAGTAAATCCGTGAATTTTATTTGTTATTGTTTTTCTGTAATTAAAAATAAAGATAAAGAGTTAAATCTGAAAGCCTCCCCAATATGGAAGACCCAGACCGCCCAAGGGGTAAAGTAACTTAAGGGCAGTTCTATATC